TCTTCCATACTCTTAAGCTCAGTTTAGAATAGCATTTCTTTATATTTTTCTAGCTATGTTTAGTCTCCAAATGAGGAGCTAAACTTCCATTCTTGGTGTTGCTCTTGAAGCTTGTTGATTATTAAAGTCGTGAGTTATTTTCTTAACTTCTTTCCTTGAATATTAATTAATAGTTCTTTCCTTAATACTATCTCTATATTAATGTTGAGGAGTGTTGCTAAGATGACAATTAGTAAACATCTCGGCATTAGTTAGAATAATATTTTTCTTCCTCTATATTAATGTTGGGGAGTGTTGCTAAGATGAGTGACATTCATGTAATTTCCATGTTTATGTTTGTATTTTTAATTAGTTTTGATTGACTTTTACTTTGGAAATTACACACTTTTGGTGTAATAGTTTAGTTTGTAAAATAGTTGTAATTTGTTTAGATTAGGGACATTCTGAGCTTAAACTAGGTAAAGATCGTCAAAAGGATCCTGGAAGGTTCAAGAAGAGTGCAAGGGAACAACAAAAAGTGAAAATTTGGGAAAATAGTCAAAAACCCGACCGGGTTTTCCAAAAACCCGATCGGGTTTGACTTGACCCGAAGATCAAATTTGATTTGGAGGCAATTTAACATGCAGAGCGAAGATTTGGCAAAGAGTTGTCTTTTACCCGATCGGGTAAATCAAAAACCCGATCGGGTAGATGTGACTAATGAACATTCCGGGCAATTACTCAAGAAACCCGATCGGGTTTCTGAAAAACCCGGTCGGGTAAATGACCCTGCTACCTCCAAACACCTATAAAATATAAATACACCTCTTTTCCTTCCCATTTGGGTATCCAATCCCTTCTTCTATACTCCTAAGCTCAGTTTAGAATAGCATTTCTTATATTTTTATATCATGTTTAGTCTCCAAATGAGGAGCTAAACTTCCATTCTTGGTGTTGCTCTTGAAGCTTGTTGATTATTAAAGGTGTGAGTTATTTTCTTAACTTCTTTCCTTGAATATTAATTAATAGTTCTTTCCTTAATACCATCTCTATATTAATGTTGGGGAGTGTTGCTAAGATGACAATTAGTTAACATCTTGACATTAGTTAGAATGGTATTTTCTTCCTCTATATTAATGTTGGGGAGTGTTGCTAAGATGACAATTAGTTAACATCTTGATATTAATTATAGTAGGATTCATCTTCTGTAATAATATTCTTCCTTGAATATTAATTACATCCTATTCATATTTCATATTAATATTTTGAACATTACTTAAAGGATCAACTAGTTTTGTTTCATATATTAATTATTACTAGAAACGATCAACGAACCGATGGTTAATCGTTGATGGTTTCACAAGTGAGTAACTTCGGTTTATTAATGCACGGTCGTGGTTAATAAACTTAAGAGGGATTAATTTTGTTGGTTAAACCGAAACCGTTGTGTTGAGGTTATCAATCTCGATTGATTTCATCAAGGAGTTAGAAAGATTAAATGCTACTATTAAATCGGTATAAGGCGTTGTTCTATATTTGATTAATAGTAAGGGTTATTAATGAACGGTTGTTGTTAATAACTACCCTCGATGAAGTGGATATACTCCCCGATTGAGTATTCGAGAGGGAATAGGTTATAGATATGACGATGATCGACTAAAATATATCAACAAGTGGAAAGTAGCAATGCCAAGTCCTTTTTATCTTTGAATTAAACGCATATAGGTTGTTCATCTTAGTTCTTAATTAAATTAAATCATTCAAACCCAAAACCCCCCTTTTTATTCATTAAGTTCATAAAAAGAGAATTATTCATTTCCCTGTGGATACGAACTCTACTTCACCTATACTACGTATAAGTGTTTAGTATTGAATTTATTTTGACGCACCATGACAAAGTGCTCGTCAATGACAATTAGTTAACATCTTGATATTAATTATAGTAGGATTCATCTTCTTTAATAATATTCTTCCTTGAATATTAATTAATTCCTATTCATAGTTCATATTAATATTTTGAACATTACTTAAAGGATTAACTAGTTTTGTTTTATATATTAATTATTACTAGAAACGATCAACGAACCGATGGTTAATCGTTGATGGTTTCACAAGTAAGTAACTTCGGTTTATTAATGCACGGTCGTGGTTAATAAACTTAAGAGGGATTAATTTTGTTGGTCAAACCGAAACCATTGTGTTGAGGTTATCAATCTCAATTGATTTCATCAAGGAGTTAGAACGATTAAATACTACTATTAAATCGGTATAAGGCGTTGTTCTATATTTGATTAATAGTAAGGGTTATTAATGAACGGTTGTTGTTAATAACTACCCTCGATGAAGTGGATATACTCCCCGATTGAGTATTCGAGAGGGAATAAGTTATAGATATAACAATGATCGACTAAAATATATCAACAAGTGGAGAGTAGCAATGCCAAGTCGTTTTTATATTTGAATTAAATCTCATATAAGTCGTTCATCTTAGTTTTGAATTAAATTAAATCACTCAATCCAAAACCCCCATTTTATTTACAAGTTCATAAAAAGAAGAGTATTCCTTTCCCTGTGGATACGAACTCTGCTTCACCTATACTACGTATAAGTGTTGTTTTGATAAATTATTTTGAGTGCACCTCACGACAAGTGCACGTCAGTACGTCCTTCAGCACATGACATTATGCTGCTACGTACGTCCTTTAGCACATGAGGGTCTCCAACTACGTACGTCATTCAACACATGAAAGCCTGGTTACATACGGCCTCCGGCTACATACGACCTCCAACACATGACAGCCTCCGGCTACGTACGGCCTCCGGCACATGAAAGTCTCCAGCTACGTACGGCCTCCACACATGACAGCCCCCGGCTACGTACGGCCTACGTCATGTCACCATGGCCCAAATGGCCCCTGGGTACGTATGGCCTTCGGCACAGGCAGCCTTCGGCTCATACATAGCCTTTGGCACATGCAGCCCCCGGGTGCTTGTAGTCGAGGGCACTCTCCTCGACAAGATCTCCTCTCCACATGATCTGAATCGCCACATTAAATGCGGTGTCAACTCCAACCACCACATTGAATGCGGTGCCACATGCTGTGTCGACGCCCCCTGGCCGAGTCGACCCTCCACCGTTGATTGATTGACACGTGTACCCACAATAATTGCATCAATCATTTATGGCTGCTATAAATAGCAGCCAATTCTCTTTGTAACGATAATAACTTCTTCATTGAATACATACTCTCTCTCTCTCTTACTTATTCTGACTTCTCTCTAGATACCCTAGCGGTATCCCCGCATATACTATCCGTCAGTACCACTTTTTAAAATAAAACTTGTGTAATGATTCGCATTCATATAAAGCAGACATGCAGAATTAAAAAGGGTAAAATTGTATTTATATTAACGTATTCTTTTCTTAAAGAATGTAAATTTGCAGGTCTAACGAACAAGTATAGACTCCCTTTACATGTACATAATTGAAAGTGCAAAATAATAACGAAATGCAAGTATATTTACTAAGAGATTATTAGAAATTTGGAGACTAGACAATGCTAGAAAAATATAAAGAAAATACTATGCTTAATTCTCTCATTAAATTATTAATCTATTTATCTTCTTATATCTAAGAGCACAATGTAGTATGAGACATAAAATCTCCTCTCTCAAGTATTAGTCCGCTTAGAATATTCTTACAAACTAAACCAATCTAAACCTAAATAGATCAGACCAGTTTAAACAAACTAAAAATGTTAAATCAATAATTTCATATTCGATACTTTCTTAAACAAACTAAACCAATCTAAACTTAAATAGATCACACCAGTTTAAATAAACTTAAAAAATGAATACTAAATTAAAGTAATCTAGAAGTTCTATTTTACTAGCACCCCATGCAATTATCATTTTCATTGGCTAGATTCTAAAGGTAATAGAATCTAAAAAATTGAAAATAATATTAGACTTTTATAATTGTTGGGTTGGTAAATTATTTTATTTTATTTAATTTTAAAACATATAGGTCTTTGCCGCTGCCTCAGCCACCTCCCACTCCATCCCAGCACTAGCAGGTTCGTCCACCGAAGAATGCCAACATTCATGACTGATGCCATATTGTTTAACGTTTTAGAGAAACATTTGACATTTTCAAAGAGGAGTAATGTCATCTTCATGATATATACTTTCGGAGAAAACATGACATTTATACATAAGAATATAAGATAACATTTTTTCGTCGATTAGAGGTGGCAATGCTGGGAGGTGGTTGAGGTTGCGGGAAAGGCCTCCATATTTTTTTTATGTATTTTATGTCTATTATTTTTTTTTACCTTTTCAAAATTTGCATTTTTTTTATTTTTCTTATTTTTTATGTACTTGATTTTCTTGTTTTATTTATTGCAATTTTGTTGTAAATTAAAGTTTTTTTTAATATTTTTATGTTTTTATTACAAACAAAAACATAAAATAGATTTACACTAAGAGTAAATTGAGCGCATTTGATAATCCTAAATACACTAAATCTGCTGAAATTGATAAAATTATGGGTGAACAACATGTGACTGATTTTCTAAATTATGGGAAAATATTATTTAAAATATACTATGATACTACCTCTGTGCCTTTTTATTTAATCATCTTTGACTTTTTCAGTTAAAGATTATAAACTTTTGATTCATTATAATTAACCATAGCCTACTATTGCTCCTAGACAAATCATTTATTTACTATTAAATTACTTTATTTCTTACCTTTATTTGTATCATTGTATCTACTCCATATTGTAACTAGATACATCATGTATATATATGGCTAGCATATTCGTAGGCTTAAGTCTTGGGATTACAGCCGTTAGCATGGCTTCAGTAATCCCATGCATGTATATAAACCATGGCCGATTGGCCTAATAGGGCAAGAAAGAATTTCTCCCAAAATATATTGTTCCAATTTGGTATGGAGGATTCAGTATTGGGGGTGGTGGAATTTTGGGTTTCCGAAGGGGTGTCGTCTGGGGAGTGAAAAGGGTTAGTCGGTGGGCTGGGAATTGTGGGACTTGAGGGGGTATTTCCAGGGGCCGGATTTGTCGGTGTAAATGTGGTGTTCGTAGGAGAAGTTTCAGTCGTGTGCATGGGCCATGCATGGGGATCCGGGGGTATGGTGAGAAGGGGGTGTACATGATAATGGGATGGTGAGACCGAATGGGGTGGAGATTGGTGTGGGTGACACGGAAAGAACGCCTCGTTGAAAGTGACGTGGCGGGATACTATGATTTTGTGAGAAGAAAAATTCATACAAATATATCCTTTATGGTTATCCGGATACCCTAAAAATATGCACGGTTCGGACCGGGGTTGAAGTTTGTGGATGGTGGAAGAGGGGATGTGTGGGAAACATAGACAACCAAAGATACGAAGATGGGATATTTTATCTCAACTCCATCGTGAATTTGCCATGACTGACCTCAGACATCTATCATTTTTCTTGGGCATCTCTGTCACCACACTGCCCGGCGGCCTCTTTTTATCCCAAGAGAAATATGCTCTTGATATTATCAGCTGTGCGAGAATGGACCAGTGCAATCCAGTGGCTACCCCAGTCGACTTCAATACAAAACTTAGCGCTACAGCCGGCCCCAAGGTGCAGGACCCTACCCTCTACCGGAGCCTTGCCGGTGCTTTACAATATCTCACCTTTACCCGGCCCGATATCTCCTATGCCGTCCAACAAATTTGTTTATTCATGCATAACCCACGGGAGCCTCATCTTCACGCCCTCAAACGAATTATTCGTTACATACGTGGCACTGCCCATCTCGGATTACATCTCCATCGCTCCTCATCTCACTCTCTCATGGCCTACACCGACGCCGATTGGGGCGGCTGCCCCGACACAAGATGATCCACATCCGGCTACTGTGTTTTCCTAGGTGACAACGTCCTCTCTTGGTCCTCCAAACGTCAAACCACCGTCTCTCGCTCTAGTGCCGAAGCCGAGTACCGCGGTGTTGCCAACGTTTTTGCCGAGTTATGTTGGATTCGTAACCTTCTCCTTGAGCTACACTCCCCCCTACCAAAGCATCTACTGTGTACTATGATAATATTAGTGCCATGTACATGGCGGGCAACCCGGTTCAACACCAACGGACCAAGCACATTGAAATAGACATTCACTTTGTTCGAGAAAAAGTGGCTCGTGGGGAGGTCCGTATTCTACATGTCCCCACCCGTCATCAATTCGCGGACATATTCACCAAAGGCCTGCCACACATCTTATTCGACGACTTCCGTTCCAGTCTCCACGTTCGGTTGCCGCCTCACGTATCAACTGCGGGGGCGAATTAACCGTAGCCTACTATTGCTCCTAGACAAATCATTTATTTGCTATTAAATTACTTTATTTCTTACCTTTATTTGTATCATTGTATCTACTCCATATTGTAACTAGATACATCGTGTATATATATGGCTAGCATATTCGTAGGCTTAAGTCTTGGGATTACAACCGTTAGCATGACTTCGATAATCCCATGCATGTATATAAACCATGGCCGATTGGCCTAATAGAGCAAGAAAGAATTTCTCCCAAAATGGCAAAATATATTGTTCCAATTATTATTTTAACTAGTATATTAATGAAATAAAGAAAAATCATATGAAATATAACTAAAATGATCATTTACAGCAAATTCAGCCAATTCAGCAAAAAAAAGTTACTACTTTCATGTAAACATTTCGTTAATCACGAATTTATAATGATGGTAAAAAATAAATAGGAGTAGTGATTATACAAATGATTACGATAGAGAGGATATCATCTTTGTGATTGGATTATTTCGGTTGTGCCAAAAAAAACTCATTTTTTTTCACCGGTAATAGTTTTTTCCCCTACAATATATTTTTATTAAATTATAGAGGAAACTGCAAACACTAATGAAGGAAGAAATCCAAATGAGAGAGCGAAACTACTCGAGCCGCTCTGTTCACATTGCTCCGTGATTAAAGAACTTGTTCTAGGATGCCTAGCCTTGATAGCGCTCCAGTAGGGATCCACCAAGCGTTCTCGTAAAACTTGATCCATTAGCGAATTATTTTATTTCCTAAAAGTAGTATACGTAATTTTCACTTTTTATTAATAATGTTACTTTTTTACAAAATTGTACCTGATGGATTATATGGCCCAGGAACCCCCGACCCACATACTTCCACTACTACATTCGGGTCCAACAGGTCCAAGTGACCCAAACACAACAAATTGGACTCCGGACAGCCCGTACTACAATAGGGTACGTACATCCAGAAACAGTTGCACTTGGTCTAGAAACATTAGTGGAGACGTACGTCCTTCAGCACATGAGGTTTTCGAGGACGTACGTCTTTCATCACACGAGGTTCCCCGGGGACATACGTCCTTCAGCACATGAGGGTCCCCGGGGACGTACGTCCTTCAGCACGTGATGGTCCCCGGGGACGTAGGTCATTCGACACATAAGGCCCAGGGGACGTACGTCCTTCGATACATGAAGGCCCAGGGGACGTACGTCCTTCAGCACATGAAAGCTTCTGGGTACGTACGTCCTTCGACACATGGCGGTATCCAACTACGTACGTCCTTCAGTACATGAAGGCCCCTGAGTATGTACGTCCTTCAACACATGACATTATGCTGCTACGTACGTCCTTTAGCACATGAGGATCCCCAACTACGTACGTCATTCAACACATGAAAGCCTGGTTACATACGCCCTCCGGCTACATACGACCTCCAACATATGACAGCCCCCGGCTACGTACGGCCTCCGACACATGAAAGTCTCCAGCTACGTACGGCCTCCACACATGACAGCCCCCGGCTACGTACGGCCTTCGGCACAGGCAGCCTTCAGCTCATACATAACCTTTGGCACATGCAGCCCCCGAGTGCTTGTAGTCAAGGTCACTCTCCTCGACAATATCTCCTCTCCACATGATCTGAATCGCCACATTAAATGCGGTGTCAACTCCAACCACCGCATTGAATGCGGTGCCACATGTTGTGTCGACGCCCCCTGGCTGAGTCGACCCTCCACCGTTGATTGCTTGACACGTGTACCCACAATAATTGCATCAATCATTTATGGCGGCTATAAATAGCAGCCAATTCTCATTGTAACGATAATAACTTCTTCATTGAATACATACTCACTCTTTCTCTTACTTGTTCTGACTTCTCTCTAGATACCCTAGCGATATCCCCGCATATACTATCCGTCAATACCACTTTTTATAAAATAAAACTTGTGTAATGATTCGCATTCATATAAAGCAGACATGCAGAATTAAAAAGGGTAAAATTGTATTTATATTAACGTATTCTTTTCTTAAAGAATGTAAATTTGCAGGTCTAACGAACAAGTATAGACTCCCTTTACATGTACATAATTGAAAGTGCAAAATAATAACAAAATGCAAGTATATTTACTAAGAGATTATTATAAATTTGGAGACTAAACAATGCTAGAAAAATATAAAGAAAATACTATGCTTAGTTGAGCTTAAGTATATGGAAAATGGGATATTCAAATGAAAAGAAAATGAGGTGTATTTATATGCGTTTTGGTGAGGTTGGGTTAGATAATACTCGACCGGGTATAGATGATGATACCCAACCGGGTATCTATGCCAGTAGCTACGAAAGTGCTGAAATCTAGTCATACCCGACCAGGAATGTCAAATAAGGAAATGTGATTTTATTTAGTGATATTGATTAAAGGAAAGATAGTTCGGAGTATGAAATTACAAATACATTTTTGAATCATGCTTTTGCCTTTATATCCCCCTTAAATATGTTTAAAGAAATTTCGAGAAGAAACTGGACATTTGCAATATTAAAAAACTTAACAGACCAAGAAAAAAATTGAGTTTGTACTTCACACAGCACCTGATGTCATGTTTCATTGAATGCATATACCCTAAATTAGCAACACCATACATTATAGTAAAACCAATGGTGCTTTCTATCTTCTTGTGTTTCAGGAGGATTTGTGGGAATATGGTGTGAGTTTGATTGGATACCAATAACAAAGATCATTTTGGTTTCTCATCTGCTGTGAGCCTTGTCTTCTTCCATTTACTGGTTAAGTAATCGTTGCTGTCCTTTCGACAGTTATGGTTGTAGCAGCTTCACCATTAACACTCAAATTCTTTGGATATTGGACTCACCATGAATCCAAGAACCATGCATTAGCCTGCACAGATTGCAAAGGCCGCAACCTCATCCCCATGATACAATTGAATCAATTTGCAAATATAAGAGTTGGGTGACTTGGGTCTCTTTCTAAAAGCCTTACTCCCAACAATTTCAATCCATTTAAAACCAATTTTTTAAGACAGAGAATCTGGAAAACTGTTTTGTTCATACAAAATTTTTCTACCTGATATCAGAAATGGAAAAGCCTAGACAACATACATAATAATAGGACAAATAACACAATAATCAAATAAGCAAATAATAATTTTGTCAAGGTACCAAAGTAGTCTACGGTACCAGTAATAAATGTCAATATTTATAAACTACAGTACTTATTAAATGATCATACAGCCCCGGATATATGGTTCTGTGCCTGCGCCGGCTGTTCTTCGATGTCGTCTCGAGAGGCTTCCTCAAGAGATTTGCCCTTTGATTCCGGAACCAATAGAGTGAACACAATGCCCAGAAAGTTGACCACGGCTAACACGATCAGGGAATTCCTCACCCCAATTCCCGCGGGATACCCCGCATCCGCCTTCGACTTGTCTTTGGGCTGGGCCAGGTACAAGAACCCGAATGAGCCAACTATCGCCCCCAACTTCCCACCCGCAGCCGATATTCCGTGGCAAGTGGACCGCAGCCTCGCCGGAAAAATCTCCGCTGGGACCACAAACGTCGTCGCGTTCGGCCCGAAGTTCGCAAAGAAGAAGGTCAATGCGTAGAGGACCACAAACCAAATCTGTTGACCCGGCTGGGTCCAGTGGGCGTATGGGATGGCAAGCCCAAACATGAAAACGGTCATCATCGTGAAGCCCAGCAGTTGGATGGTGAACCTTCCGAGCCTGTCAATGGTGGCCACCGTCACCCAGTATCCCGGAACCGTACTCAGGAGAGCGATTAGAGTCTGGGCCCTCGCGATCTTGAACACCTCCCCGGTAGCGCTCATCGTCTTCGCCGCCGGAATCCACCCGACGGCGCTGAATATGTCCTTCTGAAACAGGTTCTGGCTGTAGTACGCCACGTCCAGCAAGAACCACGTGCTCGTCGTCCCCAGCAAGTGTAATCCATGGCGGCGGGCGAATTCCTTCGAGAACAAGCCGAATGATAATGTTGGGGTTTCCGTTGTCACGGTCTTTTCCGCCTCTATATCCTCTTGCATCACTTTCGACATATCCGCCGCCGCCTTCTCGGCGTTCTTGGCGACCAGAGCCGTGTAACGGGCGGTCTCCGGCATCTTCGCTCTCCAGTACCAAGTCAACAGCGCCGGGAGCGAACCCGCCATCAATATGATCCGCCAGACATAATCCGCCTGCGGAGGCATGGACCCGACCGGATCCACCTCGTACGCCGGAGCCTTGTAAGCCCATCCGAAAGCGGCAGAGACGAGCATCGCAATAGCTCCGCCGCTCAGAATCCCGAAGCCCTGCATGGCGAAAACCGCTGCAATGAAAGCGCCCCGGGTTTTCTTGCTGGCGTATTCCGACATGATGGTAGCAGAGAGAGGGTAGTCGCCGCCGATCCCAAAGCCGAGCCAGAAGCGGAAGAAGCAGAGGGTGGCCATGACGGCCCTGGGGTCGGACCCGAAAGAGAGACCGGAAGCAATGGAGCAGCCACACATGAGGACGAGGGTGATGCCGTAGACCTTCTTCCTTCCCAACTTGTCGCCCATCCATCCGAAGAAGAGCTGGCCGGCGAGGGTGCCGCAGAAGGCGACGCCGTTCACGGCGGCAGAGACGTTGGGCGGCAAGGAGCCGGGCTTGGGAGAGCCGGGGACGCTGTAGTAGAGGCGGCCGAGGAGCTTGGTGACGAGAGAGATGCAGAAGAGGTCATAGGCGTCGGTGAAGAAGCCCATGCCGGCGATGACGATGGCGGTGAAGTGGTACCATTGGGTCTTGGCTTCGTCCAACTTCGTCAAAACAGTCAACCCTCCTCCCACCATTCTTACACTATGCTTATGATTTAGTACTCCGATCTATACGTATTTTGTGGTGAATTAGGGTAATCGAACCTTCTTTTATAAGCGCTCAACCGACTGAAAATTGAACTCCTTCTATGATTCGGAGTCTTAAATGACTACTTCTCTGGTACTACTACGGTTGGGCGATCGAGTTAACTCGTTTAACTTTTGGAAAGTTTAAAGTTTAAAGTTAGTCTCCTTTAGGAGGTACAGTCCAAAAATAAGATTATTTATCTTTTACCCCCAAAATACACCTTATTCGATTGCATCAAAAATATAAAACTTCCTCAACTAAGAAGGAAATGGATCCCCCTTTAGGAAAAATTTAACAATTATTGTTCTA